CCATGGCATGTGTTGTGTTACTGTGCTTTAAGTACAAATAACACATTAAAACTACGTTACTGTTACCATGGTAAGTGTGTAGCACAGCCACATAAGAGGGAGATATTTATAAAGCTGTTGATAAAAGGCTAATTTGATTGTTGATGTATCACAGCTGTTATTAATGTCCCTTTGTTTTATTGCCCCGTGGAGTGTTGTGGACCCTGTTTCTTCTTGCAAGAGTTCGGAGGCGCCAGGGAATCCCCGTGACCTCACCTGGATTAGCTGATTTTACACTTCAAATAAAAGAAGCCGGTTATCGGCATTAAAGCAGCTACGCTCAATGTGCTCACTTTGGGATATACAACGATCGATCCTTGCATTTTCTGCATATGCTGTGACTCTTGTGGAATTATCCTCATGGAATAGTCGAAGTTTGTGGGACTATTTATGCTGGATTTCATCACAGGACAGCGCTGTTCCTCAACGTGCTCCCGGACTCTATATACTGGTGAGGCCGAACTGAATACACACACACACCATTGGACTTTCAAGGACAGTATGCACACACATTGTACACACTGTACATTTATTGTATATATTGTATATATCTTTTTTTTTTTTTGTCTTGTAAAATACACGCTGGGTTGGCATTTATTCTTTATTTTGGTGGTTATTTACTGTACCTGCATTCCTACAATCCCACTATTAAGAGGTAAAAGAGGAAACTTTATTTGTGTAGCCTGCCTCATTTAGGCTGAGCTTTACATATTGGTGGCCCGTACAGGGACTTCTTTTGTTGTGTTTGTTTGGTTTTGGATAATTATCATTATGGATGTGACAAATGCTGATCCGGTTGCTGATGTTAATATGGTGAACACAGTGAATACCGATAATCCTAGTACACCTCTAAATGACCAAGAGATTGTTGAACAACAAGATGTGGATTTTACAGCAGACCCATTTGTAACCAGGCGCAATTCTACTGCTGAAATAACATCTATGATAAGCTCATTGTACATTTCTGACTCTGATCAATCTGATGATGATGATGATGAAGGGAGCAGTATTTTAAGTGGTGAAATGGTACAGACAATGCAGGCAGATGCCTATTCAGTGGCTAAACTAATGAAAAATAAAGCATCAACAGGTGTTGACATTTCCCAACAGCACAGCAGTAATGACTTTATGAACTACTTTACTTCCAAGATCGATACTATTAGAGATAAAATTGTAACCATGCAGCCGTCAGCTACAGTATCGCATCAGATAGTGTGCTAGAGGAACAATTCCACTCATTCTCTACTATAGGACAGGAAGAATTGTATAAACTTGTTATAGCACTGCGTTTGACACTATTGACCACAACATTCTTTTGAATAGACAGTATTGAATTGAAACACCACATAATTTCATTCATAAACATGGGACGATCGACTACTTTGCGAGATGGGTGGAAACCCTACCTGTACGTGTCTTGAAGTCATCTAAAAGTCAAGTCAAGTCAAGTCACCTTTATTTATATAGCGCTTTTAACAATACAGATTGTGTCAAAGCAACTGTACAACATTAATTAGGAAAACAGTGTGTCAATAATGCAAAGTGACAATAGTAAACACTAATTTTTCAGTTAAAGGCAGTTCATCATTGAATTCAGTGATGTCATCATCCAGCTCAGTTCAGTTTAAGTAGTATCTTTGCAATAATTTGCAATCAAGTCAATGATATCGCTGGAATCCATATCCATATCCAAAATCCATATATTTTTAGCAATAAAACATTTCGAACAGCTGGGAGAGTTTAAAACACAAACAGTTTAAAACGCAAATAGCAAGCATATTAAAAGAAACCCACAAGGCATTTAGGCGAAAGTTTCTGTAGCATATCTCCTGTTGCCAGTAGGGGCGCTAATTTAGGGAAAGCTCGTATGGGTTGTATTTGAGGGTAGTGACAAACGACTTATACGGTCGTATGGGTTGGAGGACTTGTTGCATTCTTTGCATGAATGCTCTAACATTACTGGATGTGCATGAAACTTCTAACACATTAAGAATTGTCTTTCTGTATTGCAAAAAAGATTTCATTTCAAATGTAAAAAACATTTTTAATACATACAGCATGCTTGCACTTTATTCACACAGCATTACTGTTCATAGAAGCTCTAAACCAATCATTCTGTGCATGAAAGCTCTAAAATTACTGGATGTGCATGAAACTTCTAACGCATTAAATATATATGCTTGCATTTTCTTCATTTGCTTGAAAGCACTAACAAAGCATTACTGTTCATAGAAGCTCTAAACTCTCTGAGCATCGAAGCTCTTAACATACATTACTGGATCATTAATGAACTGAATTTATCTGGAAAATGACACTTTGATATTGTCTTCTTGCATTATTGACAAACTATTTTCCTGTTTGACACTGTAAAGCTGCTTTGACACAATCAGTATTGTATAAAGCGCTATACAAATAAAGGTGCCTTTACTTGACTTAAACTAATCATTCTGTGCATGAAAGCTCTAACATTATGGATGTGCATGAAACTTCTAACACATTAAGGATTGTGTTTCTGCATTGCAAATAAGATTTTATTTCATACAAAAGAAACATCTTACATATAAGCTTTACTCTTAACATTGCACAAACCAACTATCTTTGATTGAGAAAGAAGCTTTACAGCATATGTATTCTTGCATAGCAAATATACTTTATTTGCTTAGAAGCACTAACAAAGCATTACTGTTCATAGAAGCTCTAAACTAATCATTCTGTGCATGAAAGCTCTCACATTACTGGATGTGCATGAAACTTCTAACGCATTAAAGATTGTGTTTCTGTGTTGCAAATAAGATTTCAAAATAAACTGTGTTGTATTGTCGAGTAGGCTATTTCACAACAAAAATAACTCCTAGCACATAATTACATTTCTTAACTGAATAGTGTCAATGCATTGGTTATAATTAAGCCGTGCCAGTATTTTATATTTCTGCCTAATTGACAAAACTGTCACTTAAAGGGATATTTACAATTTAAAGGTGACACTATTCAGTTAAGAAATGTAATTATGTGCTAGGAGTTATTTTTTGTTGTGAAATAATAATTTGAATGCTCTTGTGAATGTTTTAGTAGCATTTTAAAATAATTGCCTTTTCTCTGTTTTTTTTTCTTTGCTGCTTTTTAGGCATGAAGCTGACGAGTCTGCACAGGCCCTGGAATAATTCCATTTTATCCTGACCTATTCAAGTATTTTTATCCAGTTTTTATCCTGTTCTGTTTTATATTTAGTTTTACACAATAAATCATGTGATTTAGAGATTCTGAGTTGAAGTCATTTTCTTCACATTTGAAATATTTTAGCATGTAATTTAACGTTTAAATGTTTATCATTTGGGCCCCATAAGGGTTCTGTATATGGCCCACCTTGGCCCCCATTATTAGAACCCATTTGGGACCCATGTGGGCCCATATAATGAAAATATAAATGGGCACTCCCACTTAGAGCCCACTATGGACCCATTACTTGCCCCTATGGGTGAATGTATATTGTGCCAATGTATACATTGGTTGTGTATTTTGTGTTCATGTGAAAAGGTTTTTGAGGGGGAGAACCACAAGCAACATAACTTACCAGTTTTGGATATATTGTTTTGAATTTATTGCACCAGTGTGTAATACTATGTTGTAGTGTGTTTTTGAAAGCTTGTGTGTGATGTCTGAGGGAAAAGTTTGGTTTTTCAGCAAGAGTGAATGGTTTTGAGTGTAGAGCTTCATTTTGACCTGAAAATAGGATGTTTGGGGAATTGGGTGAGACGTTATGGATTTGTGTTTACTGTTTTGAGAATACGAGGCATAGTTTCAAGAAATGTGTTTAAGCAATCGAGAAAAACTGTAATGTGTTAGAAGTTTTATGCACAACAAGTCATGTTAGAGCTTCTACGCACAGCAAGATTATGTGTTACAGCTTCTATGGACAGTAAGAGTGTTAGTGCTTCCAAGCAAATAAAGACAAAGAAAGCATATGCTGTAAAGCTTCTTTCCCAGTGTCAGAATCACTAAAATATACCACACTAAAATATAACAATAATGCAATGCAAAACTAGGTGGACTCGACAGAGACCAATTAAGATGTTCTGCAGGCAGTAGTCCAGAAAACACAGCACCAGCAGTCAATGAAGCTCTAACTAAAATGTATCTTATTACATTACAAATACAACAGTAGTGCTAGCTCCACTTTTCTTAGCCTCTAGTATTTATTTATTGTATTGCTAGAAACACTAACATATCTGCTGTTGTTGTGGAGCAACTTTGAATCTCTCTTTGAAGAATCAGTCAAGATGCAGTTTCAGAAGTTAAAATTAGATTTTTTGGTGGAGACAACAAATCTGAGCTGCCTGCAGAACATCTTAATTGGTCTCTTGTCGAGTCCAACTAGTTTTGCATTGCATTATTGTCCAATGAGCATATAGATAACTTTTTAATTTGTTATTCCCCGTGCTTTCCAAAATTATTTATTAGCTTTCTTGGTTTCACTTTAATTATAGGATTTTAAAGACATTTTTTTTTATTTAACCGTCTAGGTTTTAATAATCTGTCAGGGTTTTAATAATCTTTTGCGTGCAAGTACACATTATTCATTCTTGCCCCCTCTCTTGTACTCTTCATGCATGATTTCAGTAATGTAAGTCAAGTCAAGTCACCTTAATTTATATAGCGCTTTATACAATACAGATTGTGTCAAATCAGCTTTACAGTGTTAAACAGGAAAATTATGTGCTGATAATGCAAGAGGACAATAGAAAACAGTCAATTTATCAAAGTCAGTTCATTGTTGATTCAGTGATGTCATCATCCAGCTCAGTTCAGTTCTCTTCCAATAGTGTCTGTGCAGTCAAGTCAACAATGACGCCAGAAATTGTGTCCCCAACTAAGCAAGACAAAGTGGCAAGGAACCAAAATTCCATCGGTGTCCATGGGAGAAACCAGGCTCAGTCGGGGGGTCAGTTCTCCTCTGGCCGGACAAAACCAGCATGGTGTGGTTTAATTCCAGGCTGCAATGCACGTCAGATTGAGCAGAGGACTCATCTGCTTCTCGTGGTCTTGTGATGATGACTGATGAGGTCTTCACAGGGGATCTGTCTCTAGGGTTTGTCTAGTTGACATGGTCTCTGCTGACATTCAGGGCTGTAGAGGTCGTCTCTAGGTGCTGATCCACCATCCGGACTGGATACGGGGGAAGTGTTCCCGGTTCTGCTTGACCTAGTTAGTGCAGACTAACAATCCTTTAACAGATTTGATTTATAGAAAAGTGATCGTGTGTTATGTGTATGTTAAAGAGATGGGTCTGTAATCTAGATTTAAACTGACAGAGTGTGTCTGCCTCCTGTACAATGCTATTTGACCTGGACATTTCTTGGTAGTTCTTCTGAGTTCTTAATAAAATAACAGGCAATCAACAGATCAAGATTAGCTTAACTGGTACAAATAATTTCAAATAAAACAAAACAGTGACAATGTTATACACATCTAACACAACATCACCCAAGATGACATTCTTCAGATTTTTCTGAGGTTGCTTAGAGATTGAAGTGATCGACAAGCACAACTTTAATTTTCACATATGCTCACATTTTTCCAAATCAACTCGAGTTTTCTAACTCTGTGTTTATATCACCATCACAGGTGAATTTTACAGTAAAATAAAGAAAAAGAAAGCAGGAACAATAAGAAGCTCTACCAAAAAGGGCACCTAAAGAGAATAAGAGAGAAAAAAGATTGTAAACACACAACACTACATATCACAGCATATAATTACACATTCTGAGAAGAAAGCATATAAATAAATATTTGTGTGACTCCTTATAATTTTTCACCAGGAAAATAAAATATACCATCCAATGTAACATTGGCACAGGTTTTCATGCGAAGTAGCTTGTTTGATGAGCAGCTCCACTTGAGTTGGTACGTCAAGGGTCTCATCGTGGGAAAAGTCTCGTCCTAGAAGGAGTAAGTACACATTCACATAAATCTATTATTATTTGTTTTACTAGCTTGATTTTTGATAAAGAATGATAGTGCTAGAATTGTGTATTAAGTCACTTAGAAATGTATGTGTTAGTTTTCTGTGGTCAGAGAGTGAATGAGTTTTGCTCACCAGTTAGCTTGTCCCGCACCCTATTGATAATTTGGATGGCTTTCTTGTTCAAGGCTTCAGGTTGCACAAGGCCATCTCCAACTGAAGGAAGAAAAAAATAAAGCTACAATTTCGACGATAAACTCACTGAAAAACACACAGCCTAAAAGTGACGTGACATGTGACATGTGGCCAAGTATGGTGACCCATACTTGGAATTAGTGCTCTGCATTTAACCCATCCAAAGTGCACACACACAGCAGTGAACACACACCCGGAGCAGTGGGCAGCCATTTATGCTGCGGCGCCCGGGGAGCAGTTGGGGGTTCGGTGCCTTGCTCAAGGGCACCTCAGTCGTGGTATTGAAGGTGGGAGACCGCTGTACACTCACTCCCCCCACCGACAATTCCTGCCGGTACAAGACTCAAACCCGCAACCTTTGGGTTACGAGTCCGACTCTCTAACCATTAGGCCACGACTTCCCCCCAAAAAACCTGATTATTAAGCAGATTAAGCAAAGTGCATTTTCGTGAGTAGCAGCATAATAAATGTTAAGACTGTAAGTAAGTGCTTATGTTTTACTGTATACAGTAGAAGATTATTACTAGGGTTGTTGATTTAACACATTGACTTGATGTAGTTAATTATGTAAATTTGATGTAGTTAATTATGGAAAAAACAACGTGCTAAATTATTAAAACCTGTTAACTGCTTTTTAAAACCCACTAATCTCATAGCACTATTTAAGCAATTCTAATTGCTGAAAAGACTTTATTAATATACCTAATATCATTTCAGATGCAGCTTCTGAAAATTCCCCTAACTCCCCCCAGTTTCCAAAATGAATTTTAAACCTTGAATCATATAATAGCATATTATTCGGTTAGTTTTATTTAATTATCGAAACATTAAAGCTTTGTTTTACTTTACCTACCGTATTTGTGCTTAAACCAATGGAAAACAAAAAGCTTTCCTTTTATGCCTGTGTTGCTAATCATTTCTACTGTGTTCTTATTAAATATTTGTTGGTGAATCATGTTTTGTGAGGAGTTGAATGTTGAATATAATTTTTTTTTGGTTTCAGGTAAACGTAAATGTTCAAATTGTGATTGAAATAATGATAAATGCATGTTGATGTCACATAGCAATGTGTCTTAAAAATATATGTTTTCTGGTGAAGGAGGATGACCCACAGCGGAACTGATGGTGGGAGGAGCCAAGGTGGAATTTTGAGCCCAAACAACAGAGGTGAAGCTGGGAGATGTGGAGGCCCAGGCAGAGTCTGATGGACTCAGATTCAGTGACACAGATGGACCAGGAAACCAAGGCGGAGGCATGGTGACAAGCTGCCGAGGTGGAGCCAGGGTACTGGAGGGCAGAGTCGACAATGGTGTGAGTGAAGACAGAGGTGAAGCCGGAGGGAAGGAGGAGCCCGATGGAGCTGCAGGGGTGGAGGAATGAGGCGCAGCCAAAGGTCTGGAAGTCCTTGGCGACGACTGACCAAAGTGGAGATGGTGGGACGAGGGAGCCTGGTGGACCTGGATGGACAATGGTCCCAGGTGGAGCTGAGAGGCCAAGGTGGAGCCAACTGGCTGATGGACCAAGGTGGAGCTGAACAGACTGTGCTGTGCGGGACTTCCAGAGGCAGAAGAGGTTCATGGGCGGGAACTGGTGGGGAAAGGGGCCCCAGGGTGGGAAGAGTTAGTATCACTCTTCCTCATTCAGCTCCACTAATATTACCACCGACACACCTGATCAAACGAGACCTCAGGCTTTTCCTCTGGGACGGACGAGGCTGCTGGCTCTGGCTCCGTAGCAGGCATTGGCTCAGGCATGATGTCTGTGGTGAGCATAAGCTAGGTCTCTAGGTCTGTGGTGAGCTCTGGCTCATTATCAGCGGTGACGCCCACCGCCACTATAGGGCTCTAGGTCTGAAACTGTGACTGATGTTACATGGAGCTGGATGCTGGGAACAGAATCCTCTTCAACGTCGCCCACCATAAAAGAGGATCCCTCTATCCACAAGGCCAAATTGATCAGCCAGGGTCAAACAGTATCCCCCTTTGGCATTACCATCCGAACCTCGCTGTCCAGTCCATTCCTGAACCCATCCATGAGTGTCAGGTCGTGGCAGGTGGCAGGATGGCAGATGCTGATGAACTCCTCCACATAATCCTCCAGGTTTCTGCCATCTTTTGCTTCAAATGCATAGTATCATTCACATTTTTGTCTGGATTGGATTCAGAGCGATGATAGTGCATAGTTGGAGATATACTGTAGATGGAGTAGATCGCTTCCATAAACACCCCTGCTTGCACAGTCCTATACTACTTCCTGGGTCGACATTTCAATCAGTTTTTCATCAATTTTCATTTATGTGCTGTTTAATGTTTGATGATCGAGTTATTTTGGATAAGCATCTGCTTACATATGTGATCGCTTGTTTCTGCTTCTGTTTATTATGTACATGCTGTAGTTTTTTTCTCTGCCGCTTTAAATGCTTGGGTTTTTTAAAGCCAGATGGATTCTGTTTGACTCAATGATTTTATCAGCTGATTTTTTTTTTGTTTTTTTGACACTTTATTTATGGTAACACTTTAGTTACACCTCTATAACAGTGCATTTATTTGATCAAACATACAGTAAAAACAGTAATATTGTGAAACATTATTACTATTTAAAATAAAAGTTTTCTATTTTAATATAATTTATTATTTATTCCTGTGGTGGCAAAGCTGAATTTTCATCAGCCATTACTACAGACTTCAGTGTCACATGATCCTTCAGAAATCATTTTAATATGCTGATTTATAATCAATGTTGGAATCAGTTGTGCCGTCTAATATTTTTTTGGAACCTGTGAGACTTCAGGATGAAGTCCTATGTCAGAGTCCTTTCCACAAAGCTTTGGATTTTTAATACATCTGTTGATGAATAATAGTGATAAAGTTTGCCAGAAAATAATACTCATTTAGTTGTTTATCAGGTCTAGGGACAAAACCTGTTGTCTGTGGTGGCATAAGAATAATAACGAAGATAAAACCTGTTCTGCTTTTGACAAGTAGCCAAAAGGAAAGAAATTTAAAATTGTGTCAATTTTAATTCAGATCAAAATCACTTTAGATAATAATCATGACTTCTGAACTTGTAAATTAGAACTACCCAGGAGGACTTTAAAGCATAATGACTTTGAGGATTGAAGTTAAGTCTTCAAGGACTTACTGAAGGAGTGAATTGACTCAGGCACTGTAGTTCCAGGCTTTTTGAGGGTTGTTTCTCCCAGGTCAATACCCTCCATGGCTTCTACATGAAACATACCAAAAAGAAACCACACAAATTAATCTATTACCAAGAACATGCAATAGTTTTGATGGAAATTCTGGATGAGTACATTAGAAGTCACATCATAATGTCACTTTGTCTTTATGGGACTGTCCGAGTGTGTGTAAATAAAAGCATTATTTACGGGAAAGCTCCAGCAGTGTGAACAAAATCTTGGGAACAACTTCTCCGTCATTTTCTGTAATCTCTCTGCTTGTCAAGGTATTTTACAGGGGAGTTGACCCTACTACGGGCACTATTAATTAGAATGGGGATAAAGTCAAAGACTCACCGACAGACTGTCCTGCCGTGTAGGAGTCAGTTCTGGTCCTGGAGCGCTTGTTACCTTTAGTGTTTGCTGTAGGAGAGAAAAGAAACATCCAGTTACTTGATAAACTTTACTTTTCTCACAAACAAAAGGTCTGACAATCAAACTAACATCAAGATTTTAGGTTCATATTTTAAAATAATTGAAAAATTAATAAACTAAAATGGTATAAATGTAAATAAATAAAATGAATAAAAACAATAAATTCCTTTTGACTTTTGTATTGGCTACTGCATACTGGTCACTAGGGCACCAACAGTGTAGGCAAGTAATGCGTTACAAGTATCAGCATCAAAAGTTTTTCTAGAAAACACAACATTTTCTTACGACCTTATGTGAATTCAAAATACATTATGAAATATGCTGGGTAACAGGTACATTATAGCTATAATTAACATCAAGATACACATGACAATTTATGAACTTAATACTATACTTGTTTATAAAAACTTGTGATTGCTAATATGGATTTTGGTCTTGATAATGAGGCCAAAATATGTTATTTGTAGCTTTTTATAATAAGCTAATCACGAGACCTGTTTAGGATTTCTCATGTAAACATCCTTTATTCTCATTTATGTCATCTTTTTTTTCTCCAGATGACCACAGCATAAAGAAGTTCTTGATACAATAATGGCCCATAGAACAACATGAAGCAACGTTAGATGGACCTTTCACAGACATATCTTCTGAGCACAGAAAAGGTCCTCATCCACTGTTCTGAAAGCATACAAGGATTAGGTTACCTTGACCCTGTTACCATTTGAGAGGCAGAAGCCTTTTCCATCTGGATTTTAAGTTCTTTCCACAAATTTTCTATCATATCATGCCACATGTGGACCTCCTCTATGCCAAACTTCAGAAGGACACCGATTTTGTCCATATCAAGCATCTCAAGCTATCATCCAGCAGCTGCAGCAGGACAAACAAAAGATCAGGTAGCAGCTCTATTTCTGTTTACTATATAATTTGCATGGGAGGAATTCAATTCAATTCAAAGATAGGAGGAATTCATTTTTTTTTCATTTATATATTTACATTCTTACTTAGAAACAAAATTTAAAGGGGTCATGAATTGAGAAATCAACTTTTACTTGAGCTTTTGATATATAAGAGATCATTGTACTAAAAGAATATCCTGTAAGTTTCAGAACTGAAAAAGTCCTTGTTACTGAAATAAAAGTTTTTATTAACACCAGGCCCAGTGAACGCCAGGATCCTGGAATGTGCCTACCTATGACGTAATAAGTTAAACTCCGCCTCCTAATTCTGTAGCCCCGCCCACTGATTAGCACATGGCATAGTAGGGAAATAACGTAAGTGGCGCTAAACCGGATCCAGCAACCAAGCAATAAACATGCCGTTGAAGATCGCAAAATCAAAAAAAAAAAACAGTGCCTGGTTGTGGAAGAACACAGTCGCTGCATAACCTTCCTTCGGATTCAAATATTAGGAATGCGTGGTTGAACTCTAAAGTGAAGTAACATGTGACATGTGGCCAAGTATGGTGACCCATACTCAGAATTTGTGCTCTGCATTTAACCCATTCAAGTGCACTGCACACAGTAGTGAAAGCACACACACCGTGAACACACACCCGGAGCAGTGGGCAGCCATGTGCTGCGGCGCCCGGGGAGCAATTGGGGGATTCAGTGCCTTGCTCACCTTACTCGTGGTATTGAGGGTGGAAGAGAGTGCTGGTTATTCACTCCCCCCACCGACAATTCCTGCCAGACCTGAGACTCGAAACCGCAACATCCGGGTTACAAGTCCGACTCTCTAACCATTAGGCCACGACTGCCTCATTATTTTGAATGAAGTTTCAGCTCACGTGAGTAAAACATTGAGTGTTTGCTTGCTTGATTTCACCGCAGATTCCTTTGCAAACAAGACAGGTCGACGCTGGATTTGCAGAGAGACTGAGATTTAAAAGCAATGCTGTCCGTCTATATTGGATCTGACAGGAATGGCACATTTGTGTGAGTAAAAAATATTTGTACTATGTGTCAATATTGCTTTGTTTAAGATCGCTTGACATGTCCTGATTATGTGTACGTGCCTAACCAAAGTCACACAAGGCTATAATACAGCTGTTACGCTGTTAAGCTGGATGTAGCTTGTCAAACAGACACACAGAAAGGTAGTTTACTATGCAAAACTGTTATCCAATCATAGCAGTGGACATTTACTTCCAAGTCTTCAATGCGGCACGCCCATAAAAACCGAGCATTTCTTGAGCAGGCCTCAAAACCAGGGTAGAAATAGCCTATTACTTATTGATTTTGATGTTTTTGAATGTAAAAACCTCGCGAACGTCATAAGTGGACCTCAGACAACAGTATAAAAGAATAAAAAAAGCCAGTTCATGACCCCGTTAAGTAATAATAATATTTTAAAATAATTAAACACAAACATGTGAGAAGCAATGTAGAAATGCATATAAGGTAAAAATAAGGTAAAATAGGACAATGCAGTTTAACTTGAGCCATTTTAACAATATTTCATTTGTTACTGTTTTTTTTGCCACAATTTATTGTCTTTCAAAATAGTGCCCCGGTGATATATATATTGATTGAAAAATACGCATTTTCTCTCTCTCTCTATATATATATATATGTATATATAATGAAAATGCATATTTTTCTATTAAAGACAACTTATAGATTTAATATTGGCTGTTTTTGGTGCCGTTTTTATTAGTCATTTTGTGTTTCAAGAAAAAGGTCTAAGGTTAAGAATAAGCTATTAAGAATTAATTACTTAAATGTAAAATGTTTTTCTCTATTTTACAACATTACAATAGCCCAGTGAAAGACTACTTCTCTTATTGATCACGTCTCATGTAGATTGCATGTTTTCTTGTGCGGCTGGATGTTGGACTCATGAAAAAATAATCATGTTGTCTGTATTAGCCAAAACAGATTTACTGAAGTCAAAACACGGACGGAATTGGTGTCAGTGCAAGCGCCGCTTGCTGTGAGACGGGAGCGACCAGCCGGCAGAGGATTTCGCAGGGCAGCCTTCCTCGAACAGTTATGTTCACGATTTCTGATTTAGTTCATGTATACTGCGCGAGGGTGGCTGTGACTGGATGATGACAAGTGTCGGTGATCTCAAGTGATCAGCACTGCTGCTGTTGTATCAGCTAGTAGCAGTCAAGAAACGGGACAAGAGAGGTCACGTATGGGACACATAAATTTAGCCCAATATACTGGACGGTTGGCAACCCTACACCAATATCTGTGACATGTGGCCAAGTATGGTGACCCATACTCAGAATTTGTGCTCTGCATTTAACCCATTCAAGTGCACTGCACACAGTAGTGAAAGCACACACACCGTGAACACACACCCGGAGCAGTGGGCAGCCATGTGCTGCGGCGCCCGGGGAGCAATTGGGGGATTCAGTGCCTTGCTCACCTTACTCGTGGTATTGAGGGTGGAAGAGAGTGCTGGTTATTCACTCCCCCCACCGACAATTCCTGCCAGACCTGAGACTCGATAAGAGATCATTGTACTAAAAGAATATCCTGTAAGTTTCAGAACTGAAAAAGTCCTTGTTACTGAAATAAAAGTTTTTATTAACACCAGGCCCAGTGAACGCCAGGATCCTGGAATGTGCCTACCTATGACGTAATAAGTTAAACTCCGCCTCCTAATTCTGTAGCCCCGCCCACTGATTAGCACATGGCATAGTAGGGAAATAACGTAAGTGGCGCTAAACCGGATCCAGCAACCAAGCAATAAACATGCCGTTGAAGATCGCAAAATCAAAAAAAAAAAACAGTGCCTGGTTGTGGAAGAACACAGTCGCTGCATAACCTTCCTTCGGATTCAAATATTAGGAATGCGTGGTTGAACTCTAAAGTGAAGTAACATGTGACATGTGGCCAAGTATGGTGACCCATACTCAGAATTTGTGCTCTGCATTTAACCCATTCAAGTGCACTGCACACAGTAGTGAAAGCACACACACCGTGAACACACACCCGGAGCAGTGGGCAGCCATGTGCTGCGGCGCCCGGGGAGCAATTGGGGGATTCAGTGCCTTGCTCACCTTACTCGTGGTATTGAGGGTGGAAGAGAGTGCTGGTTATTCACTCCCCCCACCGACAATTCCTGCCAGACCTGAGACTCGAAACCGCAACATCCGGGTTACAAGTCCGACTCTCTAACCATTAGGCCACGACTGCCTCATTATTTTGAATGAAGTTTCAGCTCACGTGAGTAAAACATTGAGTGTTTGCTTGCTTGATTTCACCGCAGATTCCTTTGCAAACAAGACAGGTCGACGCTGGATTTGCAGAGAGACTGAGATTTAAAAGCAATGCTGTCCGTCTATATTGGATCTGACAGGAATGGCACATTTGTGTGAGTAAAAAATATTTGTACTATGTGTCAATATTGCTTTGTTTAAGATCGCTTGACATGTCCTGATTATGTGTACGTGCCTAACCAAAGTCACACAAGGCTATAATACAGCTGTTACGCTGTTAAGCTGGATGTAGCTTGTCAAACAGACACACAGAAAGGTAGTTTACTATGCAAAACTGTTATCCAATCATAGCAGTGGACATTTACTTCCAAGTCTTCAATGCGGCACGCCCATAAAAACCGAGCATTTCTTGAGCAGGCCTCAAAACCAGGGTAGAAATAGCCTATTACTTATTGATTTTGATGTTTTTGAATGTAAAAACCTCGCGAACGTCATAAGTGGACCTCAGACAACAGTATAAAAGAATAAAAAAAGCCAGTTCATGACCCCGTTAAGTAATAATAATATTTTAAAATAATTAAACACAAACATGTGAGAAGCAATGTAGAAATGCATATAAGGTAAAAATAAGGTAAAATAGGACAATGCAGTTTAACTTGAGCCATTTTAACAATATTTCATTTGTTACTGTTTTTTTTGCCACAATTTATTGTCTTTCAAAATAGTGCCCCGGTGATATATATATTGATTGAAAAATACGCATTTTCTCTCTCTCTCTATATATATATATATGTATATATAATGAAAATGCATATTTTTCTATTAAAGACAACTTATAGATTTAATATTGGCTGTTTTTGGTGCCGTTTTTATTAGTCATTTTGTGTTTCAAGAAAAAGGTCTAAGGTTAAGAATAAGCTATTAAGAATTAATTACTTAAATGTAAAATGTTTTTCTCTATTTTACAACATTACAATAGCCCAGTGAAAGACTACTTCTCTTATTGATCACGTCTCATGTAGATTGCATGTTTTCTTGTGCGGCTGGATGTTGGACTCATGAAAAAATAATCATGTTGTCTGTATTAGCCAAAACAGATTTACTGAAGTCAAAACACGGACGGAATTGGTGTCAGTGCAAGCGCCGCTTGCTGTGAGACGGGAGCGACCAGCCGGCAGAGGATTTCGCAGGGCAGCCTTCCTCGAACAGTTATGTTCACGATTTCTGATTTAGTTCATGTATACTGCGCGAGGGTGGCTGTGACTGGATGATGACAAGTGTCGGTGATCTCAAGTGATCAGCACTGCTGCTGTTGTATCAGCTAGTAGCAGTCAAGAAACGGGACAAGAGAGGTCACGTATGGGACACATAAATTTAGCCCAATATACTGGACGGTTGGCAACCCTACACCAATATCTTTCAACATGACACATTTAAGATGCTAAACTGCAAACGGATTTTGGATATCTTGAATAGTGAATAGTGTTGCCATGGCAAGGTAAATCAAATTTGCCATGGTATATAACAACTAGACTGTGGTATGGCCCTGTTAAAAACAGTGGTTACACCATGCTATTACATTTAAAATTTTGGCATTACATTTTAATAATTTGTAGCTGAAAACTGTTTTCAGACATAATTACTTTTATTAGGAAGTGCATTTGGATATATATTTAGAAATGATCAAAGACTACTTTTTGTCACAGTTTAGACCGTTTTTAAAATGTTGAGTTCTCTTGCTGGTAAACAGTCTCTAAATGAGCCTTTGATCTCACTCTGTCTGTGTGTGTGTGTGTGTGTGTATGTTTTACACTCTCAGTGTTTTATAGTTTAAACCATTTATTGCTTTACAACCAAAGACTACCAGAGGATTCAATGCATATGCCTGCTGTGCACTGTTGTAACACATGTTGTCCTGAAGATGAGTACATGATGACATTTCCTGAAGATGCACTGAGCAACACTTTGAAGGCCTATCCAGTGCTCCACAGAAATAAGGTGAACACAGATCTTAGTCTTATCTACTGCAAGGAAGAGTTCAGAGCCTGTTGTGGTGCAGTAGACGTCCTCCAGCTGTTTATAGAAAAAAATCTTGAAGAGGTCTTTTCAAACAGAGTGGGGTCAATGCATCTTAAGTGGTCCAAAGCCTGGTGGTTGTTTTATTACCTTGATTACTTACTATTGATAATAAACCCACATTAAACTCAAATTCACAGATTAGTGGTACCTTATTGCATGCTGAATTTTTTATGTATTAGCTAAGCAGTGATGATTCATTGTTCACATGGTAGTTGTTACATATCACCTGTTAAATGGCTTTTTAACAATTACATTCATTCCTGCATTACATTGCCCTCCACCCCTCCTATTTCTTTAGCACCAGCATTTTCACGTTTTTTTTAATGTAATGGTTCTAATAGACAATTTTTGCACACACCTGAATTAGATGTACGTGTCAATATATTGGATCTGTGTATTAGATCTTGAAATGACAGGAGCCTAATATTATTCAAACAACAAAAGAAAAAGAAACTCAATCAAAGCTTCAACTGAATAACTTTTGCATGATTAACAAGTATTAATCTATATTTAATTTATGCATTTAAATAAATTTAATAAGTGGTTTCATTTGATTATTTAATTTTATTTCTGTAGTATTTTATACCTGAATATACATATTATAATATATTTTTTGACCTACCTAAAAAACTAAAAGCACTGTTGTACTATTGCTTGTAATTTGGTCCAATAGCATATAGATGCATAACTCTTATTGTGCAGTGATAATGCCAACCGGGATGAACTTCTTGACTACTGACCCACCACTGAAACAGGCTCAGTGAAGCTGCTGCAATGAGATTCATAAGCCTGCGAACAGACCTCACAGGAATGTCTCACTTGCATCGTGCATGAGTTCAGTTCCACCTAGGGCTGCACGATTAATCGAATGCGATTGTCATGCGCATTTTGTTAAAAAAGCCGGTTCTGTAATCAGCAGGAAATCATCATCACGTGCTTTCAGATGGAGCAGAATTTACTACACATAGTCGTAGTTCACTGACACGTTGCGCAAAAAAACCACCCAAAGGAACCGAAGACCTCTGGCCTTTGGATGGAGATTTACTGCTGATCACAGAACCGTGCTTCACTGAAAGATACGCACAACAATCGCAGCTTCTGTCGAATCACGATCTCGATTCCATTTTGATTTATCGTGCAGCCCTAGTTCCACCCCCCAGAAATATTGTCTGTAGCCTTGGCCAGGTAAGATTCGAACTGCCAGACACCTTTATGGGCCGGGAAGGGGGAACTTCTGCACTCACCACTGCATAAGAGAGGACTTCTCATTGAGGACTTCTCACAAGTTGATCATAACCACCAAACTCTTTCTTTATGTTTAGACAAGGAATGCCATTAAAATTTCACCGCTGTATCATTCTTCAAAATCTGAAAGGAAGTTCCCATAGTGTCAGTTACTGACACAGCATTGAGTGAACCTATAAAAGGGAACCCTAGAAAATGCTGTCTAAAAAAGTTTTAGATGGAGTATAGCAAGTGACACTGCAGATGAACTTTCCTAAGTGTATGTGCAGTCTCTTGTTTTCTCTGAAGCTGTTTAATGCCAGACGTACAAGGTGTGATTTGTGCTAGTGTAGGGCCTTGCAAATGATTTGTTCGTTGGGAGAAATTATGTAAATTGTGGATGCCATTTAGTCGACTAAACGCAAGTCAGCGAGAAGAGGCTTAGTCAACCAAAATTGTATTAGTTGGTTTGCTGCAGAAAAAAAAAAACTCCACAGAAAGTGGTGAAGTCACGCAGTCCATGATAGACAGATCAATAACGGCTGGTTATTGCAATAATTACAGTACATCAGGCAGGAAATAGGTTTCAAATGTAAGCCTATCATCAAACCTCAAATATGGCTTATCATTGGAAATTTAAATATGTAAGCAGTAGCAACTTTATGGTGCATATCCAAGAGTGTGGAAGCTATTAACGTGCTTACTGCATGACATGGAGGCATTGGCGTCATTGCTTGTTTTTTCCCTGATAACAGCAAAAACTAATTAAAATACTCTGTCATTTTTGCTCATACAGATAAAAGTAAGACATCATTCTAAACTGGGTCTACTTTTATTTGTGTGAACTCACAATGTCAACAAAATAAACTGTGTTTTCTGCCATCTCCGTTAACTGGAAGCGCGTCACAAATATGAACTGAAACTCAACATATATGTGGCATGTCTTCCCTCACAGGCATGTAGATATCTACAAAAAGCTTGACATATCTACTTTTAAATTAGCCAATTCAAATTGAAAACAAATACTCTCTAATTAGGTGATCTGAATGAATGGCAGCATCATCAGCTTCATATTCAACACCGGTTCAGAAAACTCTAGTTTATTAATAAATAATTAAAATACCTCCTTGCTATTTTTTTCTGACACATACATAGTCATTACTTTTGCCAGTGCTTTGCAGCAAGTAATCAAGTAATTAAATTAATTTAAACGTGCGATTAGTCGACTAATGGCTTAAATGAACAACTACTAGTCGACTAGAGAAATCTTTAGTCATGGGCAGCCTTAATTTTCATTGTCATTCATTGTCACGAATCCTGTCCATGGACTTCCGTTCGATCGCCACCCAGAGGTCACCCTTCCGTTACATTGACTCTCACACTACACAAACTGTTACACATAGGATCCGCACGTTTCACGTCTCGTTCGCCGCGTAACACGCATATACTGACACACAAATTCACTCTCTAGTTGTTTTTGTTGAATGGAATAACCATGCTTTTCTCTGCTATTCACCAAATCATTTGCACAGCCGTCTCTTTATTTTCTGTTTCCATCTAAAGCTATAGCAGCAACAATGAAAACTAATCTCTGTGGTTAGCACAAAAGATTACGCAATAGCTGCTGGCTCTCCATGCAGTCATGCAATGTATCAACTGCTTTGTCACGATTATCAGGTTATCTGACTCGTAACGTGTGGAAAGGCTCACAAACTCCCAAGTGTCTGAACTTGCACCGTGTATGCCCAGCTTAAGACTCAACAGGATTGCATGGCTCTGGTATTTTTAAGTCTTTTGAATAAGGAAAAGTTGTGTTCTCACTGTCCATAAGCCTCCAGTTGAGTAATGGATCGTAGACAAAAGCCTCCAGCACGGCCATGACACTGTCCCTGTGTTCACGAAGTACTTCCATCACCGTGTGACATGTAATCCGGTAATTACCATCCAGTCCGGTCACCTGAGAGGAAACACGACTTCAATAAACTCATAATTTGCTGCTTATTAATAGTTAGTAAGGTAGTTGTTAAGGTTTAGGTATGGGGTAGGATTAAGGGATCTAAAATATGGTCATGCAGAATAAGGCATTAATATGTGCTTTATAAAGACTACTAAACAGCCAATATGCTACTAATATGCATGCTAATAAGCAACTAGTTAATAGTGAGAAGGTCCTTAAAGTGTTACTGGCATTTCTTGGGTCAATGGATATATATATATCTTATAATAATATATAATATATATTCTTTGTGTGTGTGTGTGTGTGTATATGTGTGTGTATAACATATATATATATATACACCTTGCTACGTCTACTGGGTTAGTCTAACCGAGACTTGTCATTTGCACTTATATATTGTTGCTCTTTTGTTAGTTTTGACTGCTTTTATTGCCCTCCTGCTTTTATTGCCACTTTGGATAAAAGCGTCTGCTAAATGACTAAATGTAAATGTAATATATATATATATATATATATACACTAAGTAGTAATGTTTTACTTTTTTTATTATGCAAACAAGGAAGACTATTTACATAAGACTAATACCAAGGCAAACAAACATATTTGGTATCACTGTTTTTCCCAGTATCTAGAAAAGTTACTAGTTAAGGCAAGGTGAAAAACATTTGGGGTTTCAACACTCCAAATACATGCAACAGACCATCTTACCTCCATGGCATTGGTTAACATTCGGGTTAATCTGAAAGGTATTTTCTCAGGGAATTTTTCTCTTGTCATTGCAACCTTAAATATATATAGAAAAAAATCAGACGTGAACAAACAAAACTACTGTATGTTGCTTATTTTTTGTTGTTTATAACAATAATAAAAAATCCTACCTCAAAACAGTCCCCAAAATCAATATGCAGTATCTTTCCACTGAGCCTGTCCAACATCAGATTGGAAGGATGTCTGTGGTTGGAGGAAAAAAGATTATGCATGATCAAATTAATGAATGAATAAACTAGTTTGATAAATGTTGATAAAAAAGCAATAATTCCAGTTTAGTTTGTACCTGTCCCCAAGCCCTAAGATATAGCCAACCATGGACATGACAGCTAGTGAGCGGGTGTAGTTGGTCCTCCTATCAAACCAAACCTGTATGAAGAGGTAGCAATTTTTATTTCATTAATTAAAATAATAAAAGAATGAAAAAGTAATCAATCGAATCTCATTTTATATATATTTTTTAAAACAACCACATTTCTATAGAGACAATAGTAAATATATCTCTAATATTAAACCACTAAATTTCACCACTAACAGAAAAAAGTGACTCAGTATAATGTTGAAACTCTTGATAAAATGTCCATGTCAAATTTCATGCCAAAATCAAACAATTATATTTTGCATAGAGTAAATAAAGCCTATTTTAGACAATTCCAGAAAAATCCACCCTAATTAATGTAACACTAAAGAAATCTCACTCTGACTACTGTAATAGATTAAATAAATGAGAAAAAAATCCTCTTTTTTTTCCTCAATGAAAAACCTACAAAAATAGGCTTAATGTTGTTCATGCAAAATTTATTTTGATAGTGTACTTTAGACATTCTGCTAACTATAAGTAACTTTGCAACTACATGTCAACTAGCAGTTATTAGAATACACTGTCTGCTTAATATCTGCTAACAAATTATTTTTATGGTCCTCAACAGACATTCTACTGACTATAAGTAACTTTGCCATGTCAAATTATTCTACTAACCCTAACCTAACAGTTTACTAACAGTCAAGTCACCTTTATTTCTATAGCACTTTATACAATACAGATTGTGTCAAAGCAGCATCACAGGGATAAACAGGAAAGAGCAGAAGGAATTATGGAAACTCAGCTATGGATATAAGACAATAGTGTCTTTATTTAGCTCAAGTCAGTTAAGTTCATAATACTCTAATGAGAGTTAGTTGACATGTAGTTGTCAAGTTACTTATAAAAAGTTAGTAGAATGTCTAAAGTGGAGTATCAAAATAAAGTGTAACCCTCTATAGAACATCTATTGGCTATTTTTTTTTTTTTTACAGTTACATTGTATATATAATTAAAACATTTTATATTGCGTTTCATTTTAGACACAATATTGTCAATATTGTCTGTTTTTGTCAGCAATAAACAAAGCCACAGCGGAACTGTGTAAACCAGCATTTTTTAATGAATCAATTACTCAATTAACCATTCATAAAGACAGTCACTTGCTTTGTTCCTGAAATGAATTAGCTGCTTAACGAGCTGGTTAAATAAATGACTCAATGATCGACTTGGCACTACCTAACTGGAGGCTTTAGTTTCATAATTAAAGCATTATTTCATTTTTTTATTAATATTTTAATGTTCAAAAAACGATTTTTAAAACATTTTTTTCATAGCATTATCTATGCAATTGTCATTTCAGTTTAAATATATCTAAATGCTGCTGTAGATGCAGCTTCTGTGCTACTTCTGCTGTGCAAAAATGGATTTTGTTGATACTGATTTACTTTGATTGGTTATGGTGTACAGTGCCGTATTATTCTAATTGAATTGATTGATTAAATGTAAGATTATGTAAATGTAAGAAGATGTTGCATACATCTAATAAGGCTAACAAAAATTGCCCTTATAAATGTATCAGTTTAAGACAGAAAATATTGGCTCACAGTGGAAAAGTAATTTCTGTCACTGCTCTAAACTAACCACCGCACAGAATATGAAGAATAAGAAAAGCTGTAGGAGTCTAGTCCACAACAGGCCTAAACCAGCCAAAGTACCAGCACATATATTGCAGCGTACGCACTCAGCAATATTGTCTAATTAAGAAAATATTGCGATTGCATAAAAAAAAAATTAGGGGCACTATGAAAATGTGTTTTTCCCTTAATAAAGGGACACAAGGAGACATTTACAAGCAAAATGGTTTAAACAAGTCCAATAGGTTTTTGAATATTTATGCTTTAAACTTTATGTAATAATTATTTAATATGTAATTTAAATTTTTCAATAATTATGTAATTATATACATACTCATACAAATACTTAACACTTAAGCATATATA